TGTAGATTCTGGGGCCTTTTCTGGGGCCTTTTTGGGGGAAAGGCAAGGTTCATGCCTGATGCAGCTAGTTGCACAGAATTTAGTGGCACAGAAACAAGCTGCAGGACAGGAGACTTTGGAGGCAACTTCAGGAAGTCAATGGATGTGCACATGGGCAGAGCTGGGCTTTTGAAAAGACGGGATACAGATGGTGTGGTGCATCGCTACATATAATGCAACACATATTTTTCTCCATGTAAAAAGAAAGCAGCTTCACTAATATGCCAAGGGCCTAGGGTTATATTATTCCATTTAAGCTGGAAGCAAAAACATATATAACTTCACTGAAACATGCATTAATTTTCTGTATCATATATTATGTATTTAAAGTGCAATAAACTAGGCACACATAATCAAAAGATGTTTCCTCAGTCCCGTAGTCATTGCGCATCTTGACAGTGCATCCAATGCTTCACTGAAAGTTGTTTCCACACCTGAGTGAATGTTTATAACTAGGATTAAAAACAGCCTGTGCAGCTATGAAATAGAAGCTACATTCCCAGAAGCAGCTAACAGACAGCAGAATTGCAGAACAAATGGTAGCTTGATTGGTGGAACATTATGACCATTAAAATGAGAGGGGGTTGTTGACACCTGTGGAGTGAGGAGTTTAGAAGGAATCAGGTACATTTATAATGAGCCATGAAGTCAAGTGACTTCCCCACTGCTGCCTGAATGGAAATGCTGCTGCATATTAGTGCAAGGCAGTTTGTTTTAAATGTTGTGTGAAGCAGGAATCACAGGTGGGTGCAACTGCGCCACTGCACCTTCCCCGCTCCCGGACCTGCCCCTGTACGTGCACGTGACTGGGATACCAGCTACATTTTCTCTGCCTAGTTGCAGTAATGAAGAACCAGTTTAATTTTAGAAATATTGAGTAATCTTATGTTGGTACCTAGTGTGAGATATAAATACAAATGCCTGGGTGTGATAATGAGTGCAGGATTTCTTTTGCAGGTTCTGTGCAGGCAAAAAGGTGAACTACAACTAGTGAAGTGAGGGAGGAAGGGAGCAAGTGTTAAAAAGACAAAAAAGGAAGATACAGTCACCAGAAGTCTTGAAGATGATGGCCTGAGATTTGAAGTAGAAGCAACCAGTCAAAAAGAGCAAGGGCAGGGGAGTGGGGAGGAGGTATGATGAACCAAGAGAAATGGGCAAAGAAGATCTGAGCATATGATGAACTTTATGTGTAGAGCAGGGGTACATAATTGTGGGTGTTAGGGTAGAAAACAAGGGAAATCTGTAAAAGCCAGTACTCTGAGCTGCAGTAATTAAATAGGGTGGCTCATAAGCTGCTGTTTTCTTCCAGTTTATATATACACTTTTCTTTTTTTTATAGGCTGTACTAAGCCTCAAAAGTAAAGCCAGGGATACAGTACTTGTTAATTGAAAATATTCTGTGGCTATTTCTGGCCCAGGCAGTCTGTTTATATTATGATTGTCCCACCAACTGTTTGTGCCCACAGCTGGAGCCTGTGTTCTCCACCTCCTCGAGGTCACAAAATAAAAGCAAGTGGCATTGCTCTTTGAAGGTACTTCATCAGCTTGATTATTCAGAAGTGTGGCAAATCTTCATTCAAACAGCCTTTAATTGAATAAAGTGTTGCCCTGTTTTGTGAGCCTTCTTTTTTCTTTTTAATTAAAATGTAGGCTAACAGAAGATGTCTTGGGGACATAAAAGAGTTATGAAATCCATCCAACTGGTTGCCAGAATGTATGACCTATTTAGCTTCCCAAAATCTATTTAATGCCTAAAATGACATTAGAGAATTCAAACAAGAACTCATGTAGAGCCAAAATGAGACTGTTTTGATTATGTTTATGATTAGTCTGCTCCTTTTCTCCCCAGCACCAAGCCTGCTCAGGAATTTCATTTAGAAAAGTAGTATTTTTAAGAGTATGCACATCCTGATTGCTAGCTTGAGTTAGATCTGGCAAAAGACCGGACTTCTACTAAACTAGAGGGTATTGGAGGCTGAATTAAATATGTTCAGTCCAGCATGATTTTGAAACCAGCATCACAGATATTCAGTCACTTTGCACCTGTAAAACCCAGCCCCATCAACTCTCAGGATGCAACTCTGAGGGTGCAAAATTATTCTGAGTGCAAAATGTCTCTTAATATTGTAATTAAACTACTTAACATTTCCGTGCTCAATGATCATGTAAACTCCGTATGGGTTCATTATCTGTTGCCATTTTTGCCAAGGTTTTGTATAGTAGTTAATGTCTTATCCATGGCAAATGCAATACTTTGTTCCTGACAAGCGTGCACATATTTCAAAGGACGAAGAAGCCTTGTATTGACAACAGCATGACAGTTATATTAAAACTGCATAAGCTTACTCTTAGCAAGAATATGGAGAATAAAAGGCAATATTTAATATAAATTATTTATGTGACAATAAACTATTAATTGATGCATTATCACAATGTCAGTAGCACTAGGCAGTTGCCTAGGGAGGGGGTACTCAATGGAATCTGTAGCTACAAAAAATGTGAACTGTAATGCAAGATTATAAATTGAAATGCAAGAAAAATAAAAACATTGCCGTTCACAGTTCAAATAGCTTTAGTCTTACCTTGGCTCAGATTAATATATATTTGCACAAAACAAACAGTTGGTTTTTTAATTTATAAAATGACATAAAGGCTTTTTTCCATATTGACCTACATGCAGCAGCCCAGATTCTGATCTCATGGACCGTCAAAAAGAAAATGCACAAAGTTCTTGGCACAAAGACCAGTAGCCAGGTTTCCCTGCATCCAGGGGAGTGACCTAATCACTAGACTACCGAGTCAGGCTCCCTCTTGCTTATCCTCCTTCTGGCCCCAGGGCTCTTGCATTCTTTGCTGCCCAGTGACCCAGCTTTTACAGTGGGATGGAAGGTGTCTTCATTCAAGCTGTTCTGGTAGTGAGACGTGTGAGTTTAAGTCCCTTCATGCTGAGAACAACCAAGAATCTAGCGTGCTCATGTCCAGATGATTGCTGTCACCCCTACACTATGGTGCAAAGGACAGATATTTTCAAGTGGCTTTTAATTGCAATTCAATGTTGTGGTGTCACCTCAGCACCTATCTGGATTGCAATGAAGTTTGGGCCTGGTGAATCAACTGGAACGCTTTTGAGCATTTGCAGAAGCCCAAGTGCCTTGGGCACTTTTGAAAATGTAGCAGCAGCCTGAACTTTGGTGCCTATTGAGCCTGGGGAGCAGGGCCAATCTGGGTTGATTGTCAACATTTACAGGTAGGTGCCTACATTCTAACTAAGTCCTTCTTATGCTAATACCTGACCAAATTGGATTGGGCCCTTCATTATTTAGTAGTGCCCCTTTAATACTGTGTGAATATTCTTCCAAATATTTTCTTTGTAGGGCAATTTAAAGCAGCTACTGTTATTACTATCATGGGCGACTGGTGTCATCTGATCCTGGGGGAAGGGGTACCAGAGGGTGATTGCCGACCTGGGGGGTACCCCGGTGGCCGATCACCACTGCTGGCAGTAGCAAAAGTGCCGGCGCAAACTGGAAGTGCCACCGGCGCTTTTCTCAGCACCCCCACATTCTCAGGAGGGACATCAGCCATCTCCCGCCACTCCCTGGCCAGTGAGAGCCAATCTCGGGGGGGGGGGCATGTGCCCCCCTGTGCCCCCCCACGTGTCACCTATGATTACTGTTAAAAAGGGCACAAAGGTCAAGTTCCAGGCAGAAAGCAGAAGAGTGCTGTGGTGTTGAAGGTAGGTTGTACAGGACTGGGAAATGATGTTATATAATGATTAGCACAATCAACAAAGACATGCTAACTCACTTCCTTAAGGATTTCTTGATATCATGCTCAAATATACATGGGATAAGCTGGCAGTAGTGCTAGAGACTCAGACATTAAGGGTGTGCCTGCACAAGACGCTACATTGCCGTGACGATGCACTGCAGCGCCATAGGCAAAAACCGTGACACCACTGTCACATCGCCATAGCAACATGCTCTCTCATTATAATGCATTGCTATGGCAACGTAGCGGCCAAAAGGAAGTACTAAATGATAGTGCAATAACAAAGGTGCTGTAAGGCCTCGTGTAGACGCACCCATCAGAATGGATTAGACTACCATTTCTGACATTATTATCTGTGGAACTCCATTCAAATTCAATTGGCCTGGGTAATGGGATGGTAGGAAACGGTCACCAGGTCTGCTCCTTTTCATTCTTAACAGGGACAGGATTGTGGGAAACCTACGGGTGAATTTTCTTTCAGAAATGTCATGCAAACAAAGAAAGCTTGGCAGCAGCAGCATAGCAACACAGCCAGGCTCCATTGCAATTATGACCACAACTGTGTGGCTGCTGGTGGCAGCTGTTTTTTTTGTCCCCTGCCAAGGTGCCCCAGTTGCCCTGCCCTAGTTATGCCACTGCCTGGCAAGCACTCATGTGGGCAGGGATCATTGGATACCAAGCCATCCCCACCAAAGGCTTTGCCCTCTTCCTCCCAGCCTGCTCTCTAGCCTCCTTAAGTGTGCTTTTCCTCAGCCTCTCTACTAGGGTCCAAACCCTTAACCTAGTACCGTTTCTCCCTCAGGCATTTAAAATTCTTTGTCCTTCCTGCAACTGAGGGCCTTCTGGGTAATTCTGGTGGAGGCTGGGTGTTTGTGAACATAGCAGAATGCAGAGTAGTAATGGAGCAGCTGTGAGGATGACCTGACTGCAGATGCCCAAGAGAAAAGCCACAAACGTCCCTCTCTGCCATGGGAATATGTTGCTCCTAATGATATGTTATAGTGTATTTCCTAAAGAGAGTGAGAATCATCCTGGTGTACATAGGCTTGCATGGCAAAGATGTGCAATCCACAACTGAAAATCATCCTTGGATTATGAATTTTGGGTAGCCCCTTGAAAAAAATCCATGGTTCAAGGACAGTCATTTTAAGTTATATTAAAGGTAAGAAAACAGACAAGGAAACTAGTAACCCTGCTTTCATAAAGCATTTATTTTTATTTGAAAACATTATACAGGCATTACATTGCCACAGCCAGTCCATATAGGAGCATGCAAATATCAAAACGGAGAAAGGTTTGTTCAGCTTTTCGGTGCAGGATTTTGGGGGAGGGGGAAGGGCGGGGGCTTGTTTGTTTTTGGTTTTGGTTCATATTTCCATTTGTTGTTTCAAGATTAGTGTGCTTTATTATGGCATATAACAATAAAAAGCCTACCCATGGGGTAAAATTTATATTTGTAGCTAGCTCAGGAATACTAAATGGTTAAAAAAAAAGGAAAGAAAACAATACTACACGCTTGTCAAAATGTTAATAGCACAAGTTAGCAATATCTAAACTATACATTGAAACTTTTTCATATGACACAGTGGTGCAAAATTTTCAATTGCTTGGTCTGTTGTGTGTTTGAAAAGTTTATCGCTGGAACAAAGACAAGTTCTGTCTCCCAGTGCAGGCTTTCTTCCAGTAGCTGAAAATTACATCAGTCTTGCTAAGGGCCATTCATTGCCAGTGGGGCAGTAGAGCTTCAGTTTGTTCAAGGAAAAGATCTACACAGAACTGGTGAAGTCCTAATTCAACCAGTAGAGTAGCTGCCAGTTGGATAGCTGAACCTTTGCTGGTGTCTACTGAGGTCTTGAACTGCTGGAATTAAACAGTTAGAAACAATGCTTTCTTTCCCCCTCCTAGACCTCAGATTTTGTTCAACAGAGTATCTGTAATGTTAAACTACTATCTTCCTTTGAGATCCATCCTTTGGGGCAGTATGACACACCCAACACCACAATAAGTTATCCTGGTGACTCGAAACTCTTCATGTGCAAAAAAACACATGGGATGGTTGTTGAGTGTACAGTGCATATCTGAACATTCATAATTTATTTCCATAGAATAGAGTCATTTAAAATGTCTTATAAAATTGCTTTGAATGGCACCTCTTAGCCATCCATTGATTGCAAGCCTTTTTATGTAAAAATTCTCAGGTCTGAATAACCTGGATATGCCTTCCACCCAGTTGAACCTAGTAAGACTTTAATAAACATCTACAAATTAGTGTCATAAAAATGAGAAAAAAACTACTACAAACATTTGGCTTAAAAATAAATACTAAGAATGAAGTAAACCAAAATAATTATGCAAAATGAAGGAATTGTAAACATGAAACACACACACACACATACACACACACAAACATGCAGTCTTGAAAGGTCTTGAGACCAACATGAGAATAATGTCCAGAGAAAGGTATTTAATTGGTATAAAAGGTAGCAAAAAAGTCTGAGAGATGACAGGTGCCCGTAAGTGTGCCTCTGGGTACCTGAGAGAACAAAGACATTTGTAACCAAAAAACATACTCCCTTTCTAGAAAAGGTTAGAGGCTAGCACAAAGCCCATATATTGGTGGGCCCTGATCTGAGGGTTTCATTGGTGCCATGGTCTTCTGCTGTCTGAACAAGCATGAAGCTTCAGCCAGTGTATGATTGGTCACCTACACCCATAAGTCCTATTCCAGGATCCTCAATGGAAGTGAAGTGGTCCTGTGCACGGAGGTGAATGTGAACAAGTTAAATGTTGCTGACACTTGTGGTTTTATGGTAAATCTCACAATATTTGGAATTGCCCTAAAAGTCCCTAATCCTGGAGTCAAGTTATTACATGAGAATCTCAGCTTTTATTTTAAAAAAAGAATATAAAGAAGAAGAAATTTTTGCAGGGGTCAGAGTTGCAAGGAAAAGTTTGAAAACATAAATGCTAAAGGCTCAAAGGGTAGAAGGAAAATAAAACCAACTCCAAATATATTGTGTTCAAACTCTTGTGATTTTTAAACTAAAGTCGTGAATTTGCAGGGCCTAACTCATGGTTTTGGAGCTCCTGTGAGGGTGATTTGGCAATACTGAAGTCCCCTCTTCTCAACTGCAGTGGGATCATGGCAGGCAGCCGAAGCATAATGGTACAGAGTATGCCTCTTTTCATCATGCCCAGGAAGGAGACAATTAGCAGATATTGAGTTGTTCATTAGCATTTTGTAATGGGTCACTTTTTGTACTTCCATGCAAACTTCTTTAAACCTGCTGCAGAGCAATCCTTTCTGTCATATAACGGAACAGAACTATACAAAACAAATACTGTTTCGGCTGAAAACCAGCCCACTTGGTTGACTTGTAGGGCCCTTTTAATAACAAGACTGAAGTTTCTTTTTCTCATAAAAGTAGGTGAGTTTGCGGGGTGGGAGTGGGGGGGGGGTTACATAAAGCCCAACTTTTCCATTTAAAGACTGACTTCCTCAGTACAATATCATTCAAGTAAAATATACTTCCTGTACCCACCAGCAGAAAATCAATCAACATTGCTGAAAACCCTGTTTTTAATACAATGAATACATCACATATTGCACTTCCTTAACTCCATCTTTTTGAAGATCTTAAAGCACTTTAAAACAGCTTAGCCCTACAACACCCCTGTGAGGTAGGTAAAGTATTTTTATCCCTATATATACAAACTGGGAAACTAAGCCACACAGAGGGTAAAAGACAAGCCCAAGATCCCACAAGAAATCTGTGGCAATTTTGTGAATAAAACCAAGCTCACTTCAATCTCTGATCTATTAGTCAGACTATCCTTCCTTTCAGTAATTTTATGAGGCAAATAGACTATGTAGGTATGAAGAAAAGACTCTGTCTTTCACTGTGTTCCCAACGGGAAAAAATCAAGACAGGTTATAGACTTCTATGGCTCTGCTTAGGTTTCAACAGAAGCATCTTCATATTTCTGATGAGGATCCCGCAGCAAGTACATTTTAGAGCAAAATGTACAGAGGACTTTCACGTGTCCTGGTAAGTATAAGAAAACTGCTTGGTTCTTCTATTACTTTTGTTATTAGGGTAAAATAATTGGCTCCACTGTGTGGTCTAAATATCTTTTAAGTACTGCAGTCCCACCAGCAGATAATTCAGTTTTACTACATATGAATTCGTTCCACTGCTTACTAATACGTATGCTTGTGGCATGAGTAAGTTCTGATAAAAAACTGACATGTTTCCAGGTTGGTATTGTTAGGAAAAGGAACCCAACACATCCTGTAGCAAAGGACTAAGACATTTGGAAATGCAGAAGGCTTCTTTATATTTACGAAGGATTTAAAATAAATGCCCTGGTCTGACTGATATGTTGTCTTACCAATGAGAGCTACAATAAGTAGGAAACTAGAAAATGCACTTTTTAATACAGATTTACGTGTAAAAAGTAAGAAATTCATTCTGTGTTTTTTTTTCCTGCAGGTTAGATGCAGCTATAGAAATATAATTCCCTGTCACCTGATGCAGAACCTCAGCCACCAGGAAATCCATCATGGAACATAAAAAGGTCAATGCTCAAGTAATTCACTTCTGCAAATATAGTAAGGCTAAAATGCTCAATTTATACCTATTCCTAGAATAGAGGCTGATACTGTAAATTGTCCTTCCTCTGGATTCACAGCACAGATTACATAAAAAGTGGGCAACCAGATAGAAAGCAGAGCTGAACACATTATCTTTTCCCCATCAGATACAGGTGCTAACAAAAATGCTTCAGGATGTAGCTACCATGAGTACCCCGTCTATTTTGTGCAAAATAAATACACCTTAAAAAGAGAGAAAATAACAGTGACTGCACAAGTGGATTTGCTGTAAAAATGTGGCTCTTCCACACCTTGGTGTGGCCCTGGCAGATTATCATACAATAGGTACAAAAATGCCCCCTGACTTGTACGTAGTTTCAGCTTGTATCCTGACTGTCTTCACAGGTAGTTTCAGAGGGAATGATTCATAAAGAGCATTATGCTATCGCCAATATACCACTAATACCCTAAACAAGGGACTGGCACCTTTTTTTGCAATATACACCCAGTAACAATTAATTTGTACTTTTACAAGCCTTTTCTATTTGCTACCTTGCAGTCCACCGATGTAACTGCACCTGGTAAATACCTTTCTCTATGTACAATACAGAGATAATGAATATATGAATTCCACTAAATCATCAGTGGGTGACAAGTGCCTGGGTTTAGGCAACTCTGACATGAGGCTCCTCTTCTGTCTCTTGGCCTAGACTGGTATATGTTACTGATGGTTCCAGTTGTCCAGTTGCGGGCAAGTCTACAACAGGTCCTGAAGGGTTTCGAAACTGCTTGTATACCCGTGGATCCTGGGCAACATAGGTTGATGTGGAGGAGTAGAGCACCAGACCAACAAGGATAGTGAAGAATGACAGCAGATAAAGTCCTGAAAACTAAACACAGATGAGAGCAGAATCATTAGAAAGCAGCATGGGTTGCTGTGTTCATGGGGACCAGAGGAAAATTTCAAGCCCGGGTTTGTACAGCATAAGGCATTGTTAGTCTTTCATTGGGTGTGGATTTTGACAGCACTTTTTGTTGGAAATTAGTTTTCCCACATTAATTGTCCCTTCATATTTTACTAATAAAAAAGACTGAAATTCTCCTGAAATACGTAAATATTAGCCAGTTAACTGGAGTTAAGGACGCCTGAGGTCTCTTCTCAGATCTGAGGTTTATTTATTTTGTAACTTTAGCCAAGGCACTTGGCTTCAGCTTCTCCCTCTGCAAAATAAGGTATTTACCAATATTTGTCAAATATTTTAAGACCTCTGGATGACAGGCACTCTGTTAGCAGGTGGCTTTATTACTGTCAAATCATGTATGTGTAGGCTGTAGCACACAGGTTGTGCTATATAAATAATACAGATGTCATGAATTTAACAATATATCTTAAAAGTACCCTTATAAAATATGTTTTCAGTTAAAAGCACTTTTGACAATTAAGTAACACACATTAGAGTAACAGTTTAAAATTACATTAGAAAAAGGATCTCTGTAATAACACCAGTATTTGCTTCAATGAAAGTCCGAGGTAGTTCACTTGTGGATTATTTTGTTTGTAAACTGAATTCAGAAACCAGTTAATGGGAATGCATGTGCTTTAATGTGTCTTTATACAAATCAGAGACTTTGGTGATAAACAAGTTCTCAGTTGACCTCAGAAGGTTGGTGCATAAATATACAAGATCTGATGTTTATCCAAAGCTTAGGTCTGCATAGTTTGGCAGGCAATCTCACAAGACCAGACCTCCTACTTCTGTTCGTCTAGAAATACCACATAAATAACCTTTCTGGTAACATTTCAACGTTTGCACTTGAGGTATGTGGAGGAGCCCAGAAATAAAGAAGTCCATAGGAATAAAATATCATGGGCACATCTACACATGCACTTTAATGTGCAGTAGCCTATTTTATTGTGCATTAAAGTGTCACGTAAAAAACTGTGCAACTATGCTAATGTGCAGTAAAAGAATCTACTGTGTATTGTCACTTTAAAAAAGGACGCATTCGTTACTGTGCATTATGGCAGCCTAATGTGCATTATTTTAGTACCTCACATTGGAGGTATCACATTTACTGAACATTAGAAAAACTCCTTTAATGCACATGTACACATGCCCAATGGGACTGATCTGCAAATTGGAGCAGTACAAAGTGACCTGAAATATGGTGGCTTTCCCCTGATTCAATGGCTGAATCTTTGGAAGAGGAAAGATCCAGCGCAATCATTTTTATGGCACCTGTTTCCCCCGTATCAGTTGAAGAGCTTTGAATAAAGCCAGAGCTGAAGTGCAGGGTGCTCCACTTATTTCCAGTCAATTCAGGAAGGCTGCTATGTCTGGCATGTTAGAATAGCTAAGTGGACTGGCACACCTTATGCCAGCAGCTAGCCTAAGATCAGGTACAAGAAGTATAAATAGGACAGTTAAGCCCCCCATAGCTGTCCCAAGCATGAAACTTATAAAGGAAGAAAAGCAAACTTGGGATCTCAAAATTTTTAAACAGTTCAAATGTAGAAATGGACAAAAGGATGATGGGAAAGATACATGAGTATGCAGGGATGTGGAGGTTTCTGACCTGTCTCACCCACCTTGAAAGGTAACTTCCCTTAGAAAATGAAAAAGCTGCAAAAATGGTGGTAAATGCAAAGATTGCTAAAAGACAACCTGTAAGGCCAACTTGACAAGCCAGAAACAGAACTGATTTTGTATTTAGCAAGAGTTTTAAAAGTGTGAATGTTCAGCTGTGGTCCAGAATATGCGAATGAATGAAAATACCAACAAGTAACTACAACACTGTGACTAAATATGGGCTTGTTTCACTAGGCAGAGAGGTTATTCTATATAAATCTGTTCTGTAATGCTAACTGAGTATGGGACTTGGACAAATATCACATTTGTTTCTCTTGCTTTATTTTAATGCTAGAAAGAAAGCGAAATAAATTATTCAGGCTTTAGCCATCTTGCTTTAGTTCTTAATGGTTGCAAGGCAATAATTATTTTGATGAAAGTGAACTTTATTTAAATGTACAAAGTTTTTAGTGTCCTGTAACTGAGCAATGGGACTTGTTGACATCCTCCTTGTGGTTCATCCTGCTATGTTTGGCATTTTTACAGAAACAGCTCAGTTGAAGAGTTTCTGAAACTTTTAGAAGCATAAACCCTGGTGACAAGTCTGTGTCTGCTGTCATTTTCCACAGCTAGAGTGATATAAGTACACTTCAGATGGGAATGCACCATAATGGGGAAAGTTTAAAGAGTGCCAGAAGGACTGTAGAGTAAGAAGAAGGTAGGGTTCTGCTTTTCGTCAGTCATTAATTGCTTTTTTCCAAGCATGTCACCAGGTCCTCGTGTGTCATCTGGCAGCATGATTTGGTATAATCATCCAGCTGTACTGCCAGCATACAACACAGCGTAGAGTGTGTGAGTGAGTCTGCTGAAGGACTTTTTCACTATGTCACAGCACTGAAAGGACTAGTTTGGGCTGAGAACTCCCTCCTGTGGTAATAAAACTTAATCAGTCATTTCAAGTATCCAGGTTGTAGCCATATTGGTCTAAAGGAAAAAGCAATCATGGCTCGTGGACAGAGGGGGTATCTTTTATTGGACCAACAAGATTTTTGCAAAAAAAAAAAAATCTTTAATTCACACAACAATAGGAATCTTGAACTCAGATTCTGGATTAGAACAACATATTACAGGCTGGACCCTGATTTTCCTTTTGTCTCTTCTATGACAAGCACATTTTTAGAAGCTTGGTCATTGGCTTGCTGAAGTATAAACATGGAAGATTTTTTAATAGCATTCTTTAAGAATATTTCATTCTATGGAAGTAAAGCAAATATCTGTAGTTAAAAATTATGTAGGCTGTGAATAGGAGCCATAGCTGATAATTAAGTTATTTTCCACTAGTCTGTGGCCCTGATCCAAAGCCTGCTGACACAAAAGAGAATCTTTCCTATAATTTCAGTGGGTTTTAAAATCAGCGCGAGGTAGGAATTAAATTAATCACATAAAAATTGACCAGGATTGCTGTTCGCTGTAAAAAGCTGGTTAGATTCCTTGGCTAAGATAGTTGCGTTCTAGTGAAGATGATATTTACTGGCACATTCTATGGCTGTGTCTAAGAGGGAAATTTTTATCTTGACCCATCAACCTCATCTTTTCAGATTCAGTATTAATCGAAAGCAAGAAAGACTATCTCAAAAAATAGCTGTTCCTTAAACTGTTCCTAAGAATTGGAGTTTGAGAGGATCATTTTGCACTGCTACCCTGCATATAACTGAACAACTGAATTGGAAGGTCTCAGGGGCTGTGTAATTCCTCTCTCTGGCTGAAACATTGCTTGAGAAAGATATTGCCCTTCATTTTCTAACTTCTCTCTCCCTTTCTACAGAAATATATCTCTTGTAAATGTAGTAAAAACTGTAAAATAACACAGATTTGTAGGTCTCACTGGGCGTGTCTACACATGTGCTTTAATGCATAGTAAACTATTTTACTGAGCATTAAAAGTGTCATGTAAAAAATTGTGACATTACACTAATGCACAGTAAAATAGTATACCGTGCATTAAGCGTTACTAAAAAGCATGCAAATGCACTACTGAGCATTAGTGAAGCCTCATATGCATCAATTTAGTGCGGCACATTGGAGGTACTAAACTTAATGCACATTTGAACAGGCACATTAATGCACATGTAGGCATGCCCACTGCGACCTGCTTCCAATCCATACTAAATCTGATAACAGTGGAACATTGGACCATTAATACTGTAACAAGGCATGACATCTTGTAGCTCAGTTTGGTTAAATATTTTTAAGTTCACAAGTTGCAAATGGTAACAGCATCTC